ATAGATGTGAGATGATTCCCAGCTATTAAGTAGTAAATAGAGCTGGGACTTGAGCCCCAATCTTCCAGCTTCAATTCAGATCATATGACAGCTTGCTGATTAAACTAGATGACTAAGGAGATCTCTTTCCTTCAGACACACATACTTTTTCTCTCTTCCCCTCTCCCTATCAGCTAGATTCCCCTAAATCACTGATACTGGTTTTTGTAATTTTGCGTTGGCATGTTTGACAATTGGTATCACATTTTTGGTTTTTCATTCTTTTTTGGTCTGAACTTTTCATTTCTGCTTTTAAAGGAAATACTTTCGGAAACAAACGTGTGGGTTTGCAATTTATAAAGCAACTTTTCCGCTTATTTTCTTAGAATATTGATATACTTTGCAATGAAGCAGAAAACAAGCTTATGCATATACTGCATGCAAATGATCCCAAGTGGTCCACCCCAATTAAAGACTGGACTTCAGAGTCGTACACTGCTCAAATCATTCCTGGTACAGGAAATAAGCTTCTGGTAAGTTAATGTAAACTCAAGGAATATTATAAGTATTATATATGGAGGCCATCGTATATTCTGTTGTATACCTAGTAAACATGGTAAAATGTAATTAAACTTAATTAGAAAGTGTTGTTATGTGGTTCCTATAAATATAGGTTATTTAGAAATTTTATTTATTGAAGCAAGATATGAAACTTTGGGTGCAAACTTTCCAAACAGGTGCTTTCATATACATGTGATTGAAAAGTGTTTTTGCCTATTTATTTCACTGTTCCATACAATTAGGGTTGTTTCTAAGCTGTTTGTATGCTGTTTCTAAGCTGTTTAAGTGGTTAAATCACAGTAGATGCAAATCAAGCTAAAGTCTTTAATATTGGCTAATAATGGCTGATTCTTAAATAGCTAATACTTGCTAAGGGTATCTATATTAACTCATTTAATCCTCATAACAACCCCATGAGATAAAACCTACATCCTCACTTAACATTGTCAATAGGTTTTTGGAAACTGATTTTAAGGGAAGTGATATATAACAGAACCATTTATTTTTCTCATCAGTGTTCTAACAAAACGATGTTGAAGGAAATGACATTGCTCAAAGACCTGCTATATATTGTTTGACTCAAAGTCAGTTTCCAAGAAGCTGTCAATGATGTTAAGTGAGGACCTTACTGTATTATCCTCATTTTATAGATGAGGAGACTCATCTATAGAGAGCATAGAGAGAGGTTAAACAATTGCCTAATAAAGTCATAAAGCTAGAAAAGTAGATATTAGAACCCAGGTAGTGTGTGTTCTTAAGATGGCTTTAAAATGTTTATGTTTGTTTAATCTGTTAATAATAAAAAAGAAAAGATTGAAGCGTAAGTGGTGTCCCCTACCTCCTTTTAATCTTTTACTGTGATTATTCCTCTTCTTCCTTTCTTTTAATGTCATTTTATATGCTCTTATGCAAAATTACTTCCATCTAGAATAGGAATAATGTGAATTGAAATCACCTAACCTATTAGCAATTAGGGGAGGGAGATTGTATGTAATATTTGCGTGCTTAAATATTTCCAATGAAAAAAGTTACTTCGATTTAGTTTTTTATGTTAGTACGTAATTATGATAGGCTACGTTTTAATTTTTTTATCAGATATCTTCTCCTAATTGTGAGCTATATTATCAAAGTCCTTTATCACTTTGTATGGCCAAAAGGAAGTCTGTTTCCACACCTGTATCAGCCCAGATAACTTCAAAGTCTTGTGAAGGGGAGAAAGAGATTGATGACCAAAAAAACTGCAAAAGGAGAAGAGCCTTGGATTTCTTGAGTAGACTGCCTTTACCTCCACCTGTTAGTCCCATTTGTACATTTGTTTCTCCAGCTGCACAGAAGGCATTTCAGCCACCAAGGAGTTGTGGCACCAAATACGAAACACCCATAAAGAAAAAAGAACTGAATTCTCCTCAGATGACTCCATTTAAAAAATTCAATGAAATTTCTCTTTCGGAAAGTAATTCAATAGCTGATGAAGAACTTGCATTGATAAATACCCAAGCTCTTTTGTCTGGTTCAACAGGAGAAAAACAATTTATATCTGTCAGTGAATCCACTAGGACTACTCCCACCAGTTCAAAAGATTATCTCAGACTGAAAAGACGTTGTACTACATCTCTGATCAAAGAACAGGAGCGTTCCCACTCCGGTAAAGAAGAATGTGAGAATAATAAGCAGGACACAATTACAACTAAAAAATATGAGCATTTGCAAAGGTGACAGTAAATTATTGACGCTTAACCTTTCCAGTTTGTAAAACTGGATATAATTTCAAACCACACGTTAGTACGTACGTTGCACAATGAGAAAAGAAATTAGTTTCAAATTTACCTAAGCATTTGTATATCAGATGTTCTTGACCCGACTCTGTATTGGTATACTTTTGCTTCAGTTGCATATCTTAAAACTAAATGTAATTTATTAACTAATCAAGAAAAACATCTTTGGCCGAGCTCAGTGGCTCATGCCTGTAATCCCAACACTTTGAGAAGCTGAGGTGGGAGGAGTGCTTGAGGCCAGGAGTTCAAGACCAGCTTGGGCAACATAGGGAGACCCCCATCTTTACAAAGAAAAAAAGAATGGGGAAAAAAATCTTTAAATCTTTGGATTTGATCACTACAAGTATTATTTTACAAGTGAAATAAACACCATTTTCTTTTAGATTCTGTCATTAAATGAAATGAGGTCTCTTAGTATATGCAAATAATTCCTTTTAGTTTAGCTACTATTTTAGGGAATTTTTTTTTAAAGGTAACTCACTATGAAATAGTTTTCCTTAATGCACGTGTTGGTTCTGCTGTAGTTCCATCCTGTTCAAAAGGCAGGATGAATGTGATAGAGTGGTGTTTCCTTTTGAGCAATTCCTCATCCCTAAGTCAGCATGATTATAAGAAAAATAGAACCCTCAATGTAACTCTAATTCCTTTTTACTATTCCAGTGTGATCTCTGAAATTAAAACTAAAAATTCAAATACTTTAAATCAGAAGATTTCATAGTTGTTTTTTTTTTTTTTCCCAACAAAATGGTCATCCAAACTCAAACCTGAGAAAATATCTTGCTTTCAAATTGGCACTGATTCTGCCTGCTTTATTTTTAGCACTGTCACAGGACCCAGAGCCTATGCCCTTTTAAACTTACCACAAAAGCAGATTAGTTCAATTTAAGATGATACTCTCATTTGTTATTTTTTTTTTTTGGAGATGGAGTCTCACTTTGTCGCCCGTGTTGGAGTGCAGTGGCATGATCTTGGCTCACTGCAGCCTCCACCTCCCGGGTTCAAGTAATTCTCCCACCTCAAGCCTCCCGAGTAGCTGGGATTACAGGGATGCACCACCATGCCCAGCTAATTTTTGCATTTTTAGTAGAGATTGCATTTTACCATGTTCGCCAGGCTGGTCTCAAACTCCTGACCTCAGGTGATCCACCCGCCTCAGCCTCCCAAAGTGCTGGGATTATAGGCGTGAGCCACCACGCGCAGCCTTACTTGTTACTTTCTTATGTTTAATGGAGAAAAGGGATAAAGCAGTTCTAACTAGGAGTTAATAGCATGAAGAAGTTCTTAAATCAGATGTTTTAATGCTTTCAGTTTATATATAATATCATGTTTTCAAATCTAATTATAAATATGTTTAAAGCCAAGAATAAATCTTTTAAAAAATTAACTTGTTTCCTTCCATAACTGTGATCCATGATTTTTCTCTTCTGTAAAAAGCATTAACAAACGTGTCTATTTTGCTACTCCTTGTAACTTAAGTATTCTGCAAGTCTTATTAATGTGACTTAAGTTTTATTTCTAAAACAGTTTGGTTTTCACATCCTAATTTTGCAGTGATCTACTCTAGAACAAGGAATAAAACTTGGGTTTCAGGAGAACAGAAAAAAATTATAAGAATTTCACCTTTTCTTTTTTGAATCCTTGGTAAAACTGCTATTGTCTGTTCTCATGGAGAACACCCATTATATTGATAGATATTTAATGCACACTTTTTTATAAATTATAAATAACATCTAAACTACATGAACAAAATATGAAGCTTGAGTATATGTGTATATTATCCCCTCAAAAGTGGCAATTTAATGATTACAGAGTCAACATACTGCATTATCAGGGATAATGGTAAAAATTTGTGTTATTTATTCAGCAATTATTTAATGAGATCCTATTGCACATAAAGAGCATTTGCCAGCTTTATGAATGATGCAGACAGTGAACACAATACAAGTCAATACTGGGTGTTCAAAAAGTTATACAAATCAGGAGCCATGGGAGTTGAAAGGAAAAACAGATCACTTCTAGAGGGGATAAAGCTGATGGCACTGATCAATTTTTATGGTTTACAGACTAACTATTTCAGGGGTCAGCTAGGGGAAGAAGAGACATTAAATAGGCCAGGAAACTATTCTTTAGAGCTCTATGAAAGTTATATAACCCTAGTGGTCACTCACTTAGCCCAGGTGAGCCCAAAACCCTGAAGCAGGGAGCCAGCCAAGTCAGGAGGTCTTGAATCTGGTCCTTTGAACTGCTCCTGTGAAATTAAGGGAGGGTAATTTCCACTTTGGGCTCTCTGACATTTCTCCCCTCTACTAGCCCAGATGAGTCAAGCCATCCGTATTGAGCTGGTTGTGCCACCACCCTATCAACCAAGATGCCCAGGACCACCTGGGCCTGGAAGATGGGAGCATTATTAAGTGGATCATTAGGAGATTATTGTATGTTATGCTTGGAGATACAGAATTTAGCAAAACTGGTAACACCTTAGATTCATTGTTATTTACTATTGTCAGCCAAACTTAAAGGAGATACCAGTTTTTAAAATGTTAATGAAGAAAACATTACATACGTGTTGCTGGTAGTCAGGGAGATGTTGAGCAGGTTTCAGTAGTGTCAGATAATGTTAAAACAGTCTCATGTACACAGATCAAATATATAAGCAACTAAATTATAAGGTTGCTTTTGTCATTACCTTTATGATCCCTATTTATTAAAAAAAAGACTGGTAAATAAGCCTGTGATACAGAAAAACTGGTATATTGTTGAGTTTCTTGGCATTTAGGTAATTAAATTTTTTTATTGTTGAATCAAAAAAAGAACCAATGACAAATCCATATAAATGTGATACCATTTACAATTTTTAATAACCATAAAAAGCACCATTATATAGGACACTTAAAATAATTTTTCACAGAACATTAGAAAGAAGCTGTTGGCCAACAAGAAGTAGAGCATACGTCCTCTGTGGTCTTGTCTATCGTGATCTCACGCTAAATCTGATTCCAACCTGTCGGAAATTGATTTGGATTCATAAATTCAGCATCAGTATAAGAAGACATTCCAGAGTTATGAGGACTTGATTGTCTTAATGCCACATAAAACATCAACCGCTCATTTTGTAATGAGCATGGCTTTTATATATCCCTGCATGACCTATATCCTGGGGTGCCTAATTTCTTGCACTCCCAAACATTTGAGCTGCCAACTAATTACACATGTTAATAGGCATAATTTTAGAAGTCATTTAGCTATTCCTTTTAAAAGTTAGTGTTTTATGAAGGCAGGCTTATTTTATTTACACTATTAGCACAACAGCCAAAAGTTATTCAGGTTTAATCCTGCTGAATAAAGTAGTAAAAACACAAGGTGTGACTTTAAATAATGATACTGATTTCCCTCAGTAGCTCCTATAGCTATTAAGGATTTGACAGTATTTTTAACAATGATACATCATTAAAATAAAAGAATAACTTCCCAAAGTGTCTACTTTGAAGGACGTTGTTCCCAGATGTATACTTTCTGGCATATTAACATTAAAGGAAAATCAGTATCATAGAGTCGCACATCTCACATTTTTAGATACATAGATTATCAAAATAGCAATGGTGCTAAAACTTTTCCTGCCCCCCCACCACTTTTCTCAACCTTCCCAACTTTCCTGATGGAGATGAATTTCCTGAAAAAATAAATAGATCACTTCAGAGAAAATGGTACTGAAGCTTATATATAATATAAACGCTTTATTTCATCTATGAACCTATGTAAATAATTATGTTCTTGGGTGTGTTCTCAAGTTTTGGTTTCAAATTCTTACCCTAGAGAAAGAGCCTGTTTACTCAAATCTGCAGAATTCCCAGCATCAGACCATGCATATAGAAGCACTTTAACAAATTTTGGTGAAGATAATGAATATAATGACTTTGCTCAGAAACGTTTGAGTTCAGCTATTTAACACTGGAATTGGAGCTCTGACTAAAATGCAACAAAGAATAACAAAAATTGAAGTAGAAACTGACTTCGGAAAATTCTGCATGGCTGTAAGATAGGCCTCTAATATCCATGGTGACAACCACCCCTTCTGTTATAGGAGCTCTCATTTGTAAATCCGCCGTGGGCCCTCCGGTTTGGAAACTCTGTGTAGGAATTCCAGTATCTGGCATTGTTGGAAGGCAGTGCATTATTCCTGTCCTGGCTTCTGTTCATTCTGCTTGGTTTTTCTGCATGAAGCACACTGTGAAAGGTAACATCGTGTTCATACCGTTCTTTCATTCGGTGGATTTTTTCTCTTGAGACACCATGAATGTTTCTTCTACGTGGAAAAAAGAAATGCATTTAGTTAAGGCAGGATATCACAATGAGTTACTTATATTTCACAAGTCCTCTAGGATTGCAGATATTGCAGTCCCTGTTCTCAGGACTTAGCTGTGGCAAAAGCATAATATCTTGTTCAGCAGTTCTCTTTCAGCCTCCACTCAGGTTTTTCATGCTGCCCTGCACACCCCAAACCACCCTGAGGCTAGCAAGGAGCTAAAGCTTCAGAAATGCTTTGTTTCTGGTCCTCTCAATTACGTGCTTCAAGACATAAAAGAACACCATGAGATTTTTTTAAAATCATACATTTGCCTGTTAATGTCATACATATTTCTATCATCTATTTATGTTCATCAGTCCCTGATATATACTACTAGGAGATGCTTATTAAAACAATCTTAAATTCTAGTGGGCAGAAGAATCAACTGGGGATATAGTTAGAAATATAATTACCAGAGATTCCAACTACTGAATGGGGTCCATGAACTCGGATTTTAATAGCCACCTGAGGCAATTCTGATGGAGTAGTCCACAGATCCACTTTGAAGACACTATCTGCCTATTACCATAAGAGGAACCAGCCTTACTCCTAAGAAGTAAATTCTTATCTCACTGGCTATTGTAAGTCAATGACATTATCAAACAATATAGATAGAGAATATCCGAACCCATGCACTCAATCAACAAGTTAGTATTATTTGAACATTTATTGCTGTATAAATTTGAAGCAGCATCTAGATCATAAATGAATCGCAGACTGCTCAACATCTGAAGATCTTTATTTAGCCTAAATGCAAAAACACCACTGACATGTGCAGTCCCATGCAGAGAAAGTGCTTTTCAATGTTCCTTGATGAAGAAGCATTTTAGCAGAATGTTAAATGCATCCTTTTAAAGGACCAAGTCCAAGCCAAGATTTAGCATTTAGCATTATATTAGAAAACTGACCCAAAACTAAAGTCTTCACATTAATAATTCCAAAGTTATCAATTTCCAAGAATTACCATTTCTGGCCTGAAAACTACCATGTCCATTTCCAGCCTGAAAAGATTCTTTTGTTCGGTCTGAAATACCTGAAAATAGCAGGATACATAATGAGAAACTAGAAAAACAAAGAAGTACCTTGCTAACTCTTGAACGTTGAATTTCCAGCGAGTGTCAGGTTCTCGGAATATAACTTCATAGTTATTTTCAAGTGCCTGATTTTTCAAAAGTACATAAAACATTGAAGACATAGTATGTATGTTTGGGAATGTTTATGCTGCCATTTAACATTTACTACAAATCTTTTCTAGAATTCCTTTTGTTTTACCAGTAATCCAATGCCTTAATTTATCATAATAAATGCAGTTGTTTCATTCCCATACTTAGCCACTCTCATAATTCTCCATGATAAATTTTGCTCAATTTTATCTAGTATGTAGGAAATTTGTAAAGGTTCTTTGTTTTGGATATCTTTAAAAATAGATGACTGAGCTAGTTTAAAACATCCTGAACACCGGTATGAGCAGTGAACTCAGTGACTTCTCAAAGTCACTTACAGGATTTTTGTAGATTTACTTGTCAGATGCCTTGTCCTATCCCTCATGCCTTCCTTTAGAAAGTGGGAGTACCATAGGAACATAACTGGTGAAATAAAAGTGATAGTCACTTACTTTGTATCAACTTCCCTCCAAAAGTAGCTCTCCCCATTATGCAATACGATTTGGGTCAATGCACCGGGCCCCGTTTCCTTGAGTTTAGAAAGCTATTATAATTTCCTTATAAATATCCAGATATTGTTTGCATTCATAAATTGACTACTACCTTATCTCAAACTGAATTTTCTATTATCACTATAATTTATTGTGTTTATAAAACATAGAGTGGAAAGAGCTAAACAAAAATGTTTCCTTTTCATTCTTTACATGGGCACTTCTCAGTTGGGAAGTTTTTAAATAACACAACCGGAAACCTCTCATTTTTAAGTCTAATGAATAGCTGAGGATGCCTGAAAAAGAGTATACATATCCAGAAGATAAAAAGTAAACTGAGGCCGGGCACGGTGGCTCACACCTGTAACCCCAGCACTTTGGGAGGCCGAGGCGGGTGAATCACTTTAGCTCCGGAGTTCGAGACCAGCCTGGCCACCATGGCAAATCCCCCTATCTACTAAAAATACAAATACTAGCCGGGCGTGCTGGCACGCGCCTGTAATCTCAGCTGCTGGGGTGGCTGGCACATGAGAATTGCTTAAATCTGGGAGGCAGAGGCTTCAGTGAGCTGAGATCATGCCACTGCACTCCAGCATGGGAGACAGAGTGAGACTCTGTCTCAAAACAAAACAAAAAAGTAAAATGACTTCCCTTAGGCTACTGGTCAGTTAGTCCTTAAGTCTTGGTTTTAAGTGATGGCCTTCATTCAATTGACTCTTCACGTGCCTGTTCATTTCTCGCCCAGGTAGACTCGACATGAACTGAAGTAACCACAAGTGTGCGGCTCATTCTTCTTTACATTCACCGAAGCCCCACAATCTGGGCATAAGTGGAACTGATGATGATCGTTAGAGAAAAGCACACCTGTAGGTATGCCAGTTAGCCCCAAATGTAAAAAGAAGCCTAACATCGTGAGCCCACTCTGGAGCTATTCACTTCACAATTAACCAGGTAGGGATTCTGCATGATGCAAGGAGGATACTCCACTGTGCTTCCTGCCCCATTTGTATGGTTCTGGATCCTTCCTCCTTTCTACACCCAATAGGGAATGAAAACATTATCACAAGAGATGGAATATGTATGAAAAAAGACCAAATAGACTCCACAATTAAAGGATAATGTGCACACTGTTACAGGCATCATGCTGTTCTTTGCTATTCTGACAATGGAGAGCTGAGTTTTATATTTATATTTGCATTCTGTCATCTCAATAAGATTACAGTGTTAATCCTAATTCTGTTTTTATTTTTTAATTTTTAATTTTTTTTTTTTTTTTTTGAGATGGAGTTTCACTCTTGTTGCCCAGGCTGGAGTGCAGTGGCACGATCTCAGGTCACTGCAACCTGCTGGCCTACAAGGTTCAAGTGATTCTCCTGTCTTCAGCCTCCGAGAACGGATACAGCGCCCGTCACCACGCCCGGCTATTTTTTTGGATTTTTAGTAGAGATGGGGTTTCACCATGTTGGCCAGGCTGGTCTTGAACTCCTGGACTCAAGTGATCCGCCTGTCTCGGCCCCCCAAAGTGCTGGGATTACAGGCGTGAGCCACCACGCCCGGCCCTAATCTGTTTTTAAAGTAAAATATTCTGTTGCCCTGGAACTCCCAGGCAGCAACAGTACACGGTGTGGAAATCCCCGGCTCACCAGAGGCAGAATGGTCCTGTTGTGACCTGTAACTCCACTAGGAGCGTCATCTAGTTGAGTATTGCTCTGCACATTTCAGTGGGTGCTCCTCTGTATGCCTCGCCTTAGGAAAGTAATTAAGACAGAAAAGTTATCAAGAATTCACACCAAGGACCATTTGCCAAGGACTATTTTTAAATTGTATCCTGAAGTGAGATTAGCATCTCAGCAAACTTCAGCCATTGAACAGCAGAGAAACACTAACATAAAACCTCGTTACCTGCTCCCTGAGAGAACTACTGTTAGCAAATATGAAATCATGGAACATCAGAAAAAGAGGAAAGAACAGATGCTTCAACTTTCTCACAAAATGTCCATAACTGAAAATTCAGAATGATACTTCTTCCTACCATGACTGCATAGGGCTTCATTTCCCAGGCGTGGAGGTTGGTATTATCAATAATAATGGGGGATATGCCATTCCTCATTGCTTTTCTTGCTGCAACACAATGTTACATAACAGTGAACAACATGCAACAATCAGAGGGAAGGGTGAGCGTAATCTCTATTGGTCATTTTTATTATAGGATGCCCTCATCTCCTCATCACACAACTTCAGTGCCACCTATTTCAGAGCCCACTATCAATAATTTTCTTTCTCTGGAATCTAAGGAGGTTACTGTTAGATGGTAACATCTGGTGTTCTGTTTTGGGGAAAAACACGGCAGAACTTTCGGTTAAACTCCTTCCATTAAATTTATTCATTCTGCAGCAGCTACAATCTATGTGCACATCAGGGTTTCCCAGGAGTTTGGAAAGGAATTTGTCACCTCTTTTTTGGTTCCATTCATGAGCTTCCTCCAGGAAGTCAGGATTGAACTCATAGGCACCATCTTCCCTGAAGAAAAAATCATCTGTGCTGAAAATCAGGGCCCTGGGAAAGTCATGCTGCAATTGTCTGGAAAGTGGAGAAATTAGAGAGAGAGATGTTTTCAATATTATGTATAGTCTCAGTAGAAATAATTTCCTTCCATCTCTAACATTTAGCGGTTGTAATATTGAGACCACCAGGTTTGGAGCTGTTAAAATGCAGCTTTAAAAGAGAGACATTTATGATGTCTAGAAGGCATTACTCCTTAGCAGGAGGTGGGAGAGGGCTGAGAGGCGGCAGTGTGTGCTGCTGGTCCTTGAAACTAAGAGGTGCAGTCACTGCTGCTGCCTTCTGCAGCAGCAAGGACTGACTCAAGAAGAAACTGAAGCTAAGCTGGGGGCCTGGTGACTGTCTTTCCTCCTGAGCACCAATCCCAGTGCCCATTTCTCTCCAAGGCACCAGTGCCCCTGCCCAAGACCTGCCCATGGATGCCAGACCCTCACGTTGCAGCCCTTCCCTCGGCCCCCTAAACTCTGAGCTGGCCCATTTCCTTGGAGCTCTGTTCTCTGTAAGGACCCATCTGAGAGGCTAGTTCTAGTATGAAACGTGGGTAAGTGATGCATGTGCTCTACTAAATGGGAGAAAAGCAAAACAGGAGAAGGAAAGCGACAGAGCCACTGTCCCCTACCTTCCTACCCTCCACCACTCTGAGCGTAAGTAGGAAATAGCACAGCAAAAAGAAACACCACCATGGAGCTCCCCTTTAAAGCAAGACCAAAACAAAATGAAGACGCTTATTCAGTGCTGCACAAAAGAACTTCAAAGAGAAGATGTTTCCACTTGAAATCTTTGCTCGTACTATCTTTTGGCAGAAGGTGGATGTCATGCTCTGGAGGAACTGGAGACGTCTCTGAGCTTCATTTCCTCATCTGTAAAAACTGAGGACAAACAAACCCAGCCAACAAACAGAAAATATGGTCACGTGGCCATGCTCAGAATAAGATATTTAAAAATCGGAAAAAACGTTGGAGAATGACAAGGGCAGGAAATGCAAAGAGAAAGCAAAGCTATTCAATGTCTTTTTTGTTGTTAGTCTTCTCCATGGAGCAGAATGATCTTTAATCCAGGAAGAATGGAACAAACATGAGGCCTTGGAGCCACAGATGAGTAAGCACTTCAGGTGCCCTGACAGGCTTGGGAGCTCCTTTCTCAACTGTAAAACACAGATAATTATCCCTACCTATTAAACAGAGCTTCTAATCAGGCTGAAATGAGGCCAGTATGAGAAAACATTTTGTACCCAGTAAGGCACTTTACAGAAGTAAAGTGGTGTTATAATAACCATGAGGCCACACTGACCAACCCAGACTGTTTATCTGCCACGGTAATAAACACATCGGAGAGCGCGTGTCAAGTAGCCCTTGAGGTACTGCGGTGAATTAAGAGAGAGATGAAAGACAGAAGTAAAATGCTTCCATTTTCAAAAATGAGTGAATATACATTCCAGAAATGGTAACTAAATAGCTGTCAAAATTCTTCAGAAGCTTGATAGCATTTAAAAAGAAGGCAGCGCAGATCGCTGAAAAAGTAATTCCAAACCAAATGCATTTTCTTTTTTAATGAACTAAACAGTGGCAAACAAGGAAATTCAGTGGACATACTATCTTTGTTTAAACAGGAATCTGACAGTCTCCCTTGATAGCCTTGTGGGGGAAATGCGGCCAGTAGATAATATACTTTAATACCAAAAGAATATTAGTTAATTATCCAACTCATTAAACATTTATTGAGCACCTGACATGTGCCAAGTGCCAGGTGAAGCGTTAAGGTACAGAAAGTAGCTGCTTTCAAGGAATTCATGGCCCAGCCAAAGGAGTCAGCCAGCGCAGCGCACAGAGGAAAAAGCTGGCCCAGCAAAGCGCTGAGAGAAAGGGTCCGGAGCCGGGGAAAGGGATGCAAAGGAGTGATGCAAGTTTGACTTAGTCCCTGAGGGATGAGAAAACTGTTGCCTCTTGGGGGAGGGGCTGAGACACGGGCAGGAAAGAGGAGGAAGCCTAGGGCTTGTGAGGGGAGAAGAGGCTGTAGGGAAAAGCAGAAAGACTCAGGGTTAGAAGAAGCAAATCATCTTTGAAACACTTTTCAATTCCGACTGCCACACAATTTAAAGAGAAATTTGGCCACCTTGAAGGTGTCCAGAGAAGAGTGACCAGGTACATACAAGGTCCAGAAACCATGTCGGAGGAGCAGAGATCATCGAAGACAGGCGGAGTGTTTCAGGCAGAACAGATAATAAAAGGGATAAGGTGATAGTTCTCAGACGCTGGGAAGCCTGTTGTGTGGATGCGGCAAAGAACTTCTGTGTTGGCAGTTTGGGCTGGGCTCAGGTGGGCCGATCTGCGGGCCTTGCCTGGGGTCCCTGCGGCAGCTGCGTCACCTGACAACGTGGGGCTGGGCAGAGTGCCCTAAACAGGGTCCTTCACACGTGTGGTGGTGCTGGCTGTCACTCCGCAGGGCCTGTCATCCTGAAAGAGCCGCACCCAGGCCTCTTCACAGACCGCGGTATTTCAAGAGAGCACGACAAGAAGCTGCTTGCCAGCGCTCCTGCACCTTGTGTTGGTCAAAGCGAGTCACTTTGCTGGCCCACATTGAAGGGCGAGGAAAGCAGACTTCTTGATGGAAGGAAGAGCAAAGAAAACGTGGTCACTTTAAATCTAGTACAGATAAAGCCAGTGACACGAAGGGAGGGGTAAGTATAAAGACTTGAGGAACCCATGCTCATAGTTTCCGTATGAATGTCTGTTATTCCACTTAAAAGATACGCAAATCGAAAAGTCCAAACCTTAACCTCTGATGCAAACAATTATAGACAGGAAAAACATCTAAGGGTAGCACTGATGCATTTTCAGGTATGTATATTTTATATTTGTGAACACTGTACAGTTTTAAAATGATTTTCATCAATATTATTTAAATAATGAAAGTTGTGTTCAGAGATTAAGTAATAGTATATAATGTGTTTCCTTTATCCTTTGTATACTCAGTTAAGCAGCCATGGTAACTGAATCCAAGATTTTTTTCTCTTTCTGGTCCCAGATTTGATATCCCTTCTATACCTGGTTTCATTTGTTCTCCTATTAAGTCTGCTACTTATCAGTTTTGTTTTGTTGTTTGAACATTTTCAGATTTGAATTTTTCTTTTCATATACACACCCTTATCTGCTCTTGTTTTCCTCTTTGTGGTTTATATTATTGATTGGAAGTTAATACTTTATAATATTTCCTTTAAAAAGACTTTAAGGCATGAGTATCCAATTCACTGTTTGTTTCATGTTTGTTTTATTTGAATCCTATTTCTTTCTAGAAAACAAAAACAGCACATAACACTACTGCCCTTTTAATTACAAAATTTTACCTTAGAGTAAAAGCTAAATGGTTCAGGATCACTATGGGGCAAGAACACCATCTCATCATTACCTGAGACACATCTGACAGTGGCCTCCATACTCTTCCTAACAAACAGGCAGACAAAAATAAGGGTGTTTTTCCACCTTTAAGGCTCTCATGGATTTTTTTTTTTTTTTTTTTTTTGGCCTGTATGATCTTCCTGAATGACTTCAAAACTCGTTTTATCGTCACCTAAATGTTAAATTAGCACTAGCAGCCATAGTAGTATGTTGAATAGGCAGGACAATAAAAACTCTACTAGCTAAATAAAGAACTGATTAAACAGACAATCTTGAGATTCTGAAACTTAAGTGGAAGCAATAAATACCATTCCATCAGCTTCAGAAGTGATGAGGGTTAAGCCCCAGTTCTATCTTTATGGTGGTCAGGAGCCTCATGCATTAGGGAAATTGAGAGAATGAAAATAAAAGGGAAAAATAGAAAGGCAATTAATTCCATATAACCTCCACCTGCCACAAACTCCCCTGAAATTCATTTAAAATCACTATTATGAGAGAAACTCAGGGACTAATCTTGATTTCACAACTTATTCTTTTGTGTAATTCTTTATTTAAATAATGGAGAACCATAGAGCTATATTTAGATATCTCTTCAGCCAGTCAGTCACTCACTGAGAAAGTCAGACATTGCATATAATTTTAACTTGATGCCCAGCTTTTTACTAGGGAAATTTTCAAGCTTGCAAAAGTTAGATGGCATAATATACTCAATCCTCATATACACATGACCAGTTAGCATCATATGGCCAGTCTTCTCTCATGTCTTTCCTATTTCATTCCATCAGTCACTCCATCAGTGTTCAGTCTCCCTGCTTGTCTCATCAATGTTTTCCTCCAGTTGGTTTGTGTGCATCAGGGACCAAACAAGATCCACACATTGTATTTGGTTGCCATGTCCCTTAAGTCTCATTTATCCTATAGTTTACCCTCTCCTCTTGATTTCCACCTGAATTTCTCCCACCACAACCTTTTAATTAGAAAATATAAAAATCTATGGAAATGAGTTGAAAAACAGTATACTGAACACTGCTTACCCTTCATCTATGGTCACCAGATGTTCACATGTTGCCTTATTTTTTGTCTCTCCTATATATATTTTTGGAGAACCATATGAAAGTAAATTGCAGGCCGGGCACGGTGGCTCACGCTTGTAATCCCAGCACTTTGGGAGGCCAAGGCGGACGGATCACTTAAGGTCAGGAGTTTGAGACCAGCCTGGCCAACATGGCAAAATCCCGTCCCTACTAAAAATACAAACATTAGCCAGGCTGGTGGCGCACACCTTTAATTCCAGCTACTCGGGAGGCTGAGGCATGAGAATCACTTGAATCTGGGAGGCAGAAATTGCAGTGAGCCAAGACCGTGCCACTACATTCCAGCTCCAGCCTGGGTGACAGAGCAAAACTCTGTCTCAACTGTCTCAAAAAAAAAAAAAAAGGTAAACTCCATACATCGTGATACTTTATTCCTAAATTCTTTGTCAAGTATCTCTTAAAAATAAGAACAATTCCTTGCATAACCACAATACCATTATTGCATCTAACAAATTAAAGCAGAGTGCCCTAAGCAGGGTCCTTCACATGTCTGGTGGTGCAGGTTCTCACTCCGCAGGGCCTGTCATCC